CCAGTATTTAGTGAATCCGTAAAATATTGTCATTTGTCAATAATAAGTTAATTAGTACACCAAAACTGTGTCTTCTCCAGCTTACAGAGATGCACAAGTGGAACTGATGTCATCTAACCTCATGAGAGATGGTATATATACATCCTCTGTGACTAAACCAACTAGCTACTCCAGTTTTTCAATTTTTTTTGTCAGTGGTGCCTAGGGCTGTGAACGCTTGGAACATAATAGTCTTCCTGGAACTCCGGCAACCCATGAGGCACTGCCCTACCTTCGCTTGCAGTATCAGCGCTCCCTGTCGTCTCGCTCGCTGATCCAGTGGAACCCTTGACCGCATCATCGATTGGTTTCTGCATTGAGCAACACAAGCAGGTTAATTAGCGTCTGCAGAAAGGCTCATCCTAAGATTCAGGCAACGGAATAGAAGATGAGAATCACTGCTTACATTGAGCACCGGGTTGCTGCCACCGCTGCTGCTGACTGACGCCCGAGTCTCTGCGTCTAGCCGGATGCCTTCAGCCTCCGTGGCTGTCAGTACTAGAAGCATGATCACAATTGCAGCCAGTGGAAAGTAGCTAGAAATGGAACTCCTCATCATGTCAGAGATCGATGTCACTGACTACGAGAGACAGAGTATACTTCAGTCTTAGGCTCAAAAGAGGGCGTAGACTGTGTAGAGAGGAGAGGCTAGCTGGGCTAATCAAGTCGCTTGAACTGAAGCATACAACTAACCTCATGAGAGATGGTATATATACATCCTGCTTTTCAACCCGCCCCAGTGTTTGCTGCACTTATGTCTGTCATGAGTGGTTTATCTACAACATATACAAATTAAAGAATTATACTTACGAGTGCAAATGTCGCTGGATCGCTACCTTTAATTAACTTTAATTAATGAAGTACGTCCTTGCATGCCACCCTAAATGGGAGGATGTCTCCACAAAAGTTGGCTCATGAACAATTTGTTTAGGCCACTAGTTTGTTCATTAGTACTTAACCAAATGCAGGACTTTAAATTAGTTGGTAAGCACAAGAAGCTTTAGGTTTTTGTGTTTGGTCACAGGTGCCACACGCATTGCCCAGTCCTGGAAAGTTGGGTGCCGGACTGTCTAGTCTAGCTAACGGCATAGGTGCGACCGAACCCTAAACCCTAGGGAACCTGGGTCTTCTGAAAGCTTCTACTACATTTTGGGCTATGGATAAGTTGGATTTAATGCATGGAGTGTTTCAATGTGTTTACCTTCTGAAATGAAATACATGAACAAAGAGAACTAAGAGCATCTCTAGCTGAACTCTCAAAAAATGGTTAACTCCTAAAAAGATTCCATTTTGAGGAGGTAAACCGCAGGTAATCAAAGGCTCAAACTGTTAACACAGGAGTTAAGTCTCAAAAGTTTCTCAATCTCTCCATTTTGAGCAGCAGCCACCAAGTCTCAAAAAATTCCTTTTCTCCTCTCCCGCGCACATGGCGCCTCTCCCGCCTCTGTCGCTACAACCACCAGGTTGCCTGATTTCTCCGAGAATGAAACTGTGTTGGCTGCCTTCACACTCCGATGAACACTCCTGCTAGGGTTTGACACCCACGCCAAGGAAGCGGCTTAGGACGAAGACCGTCGTGCCCTCCGATGCATCGTCCACGAGGACTGGCGGTAAGGCTGTGCCATCCGTGAAGACGATCGGCCACCCTCCGATTGCTCTGGCCATCACCAAGCGGACAAGGAAGTTGACGTCGGTGGGCAGGTCCCTCGATGAGGCAATGGCGAAGAAGAGGAAAATCCATCCACTCCAACACTTTCTCTTCCATCTCCGGCCACGCCCTCACCTCCTCCACCAACACCTACGACCACCGCAACCTCCGACAAGGATCATGCCCACCAAGTGTCCAACACAATTCCTGAAAGGTAAAAAATAGCATTTTTTTTTCATTTTTTGTGATGCATTGCGACGATGATCGCGTGACATGTTTGTTCTTGGTGATTTAGTGTAGACGAATATGATGTTACAAGTTTCATGTCTCAATTGGATGAATCGCACATACTCAAACTTGATGACATATCGATGTCTATGGTCGATGATCCTGAGAGGGAGGAGGATGACCCTGAAGTGAAGGAGGTCAAAAAGCCGTGGAGACACAAACAAGCACATAGAAGACAAGATCAGTGAATTATCGTAGCCAAGAAGACATTGCTTTGTGTTTTGCTTGGATGAATGCGTCCTTTGGTGTCTAGGTTGGTACCGATGAAATGAAGGAGAGGTTTTGGCAAAGAATTGAAGAGTACTACTTGAGCAATGTGACGGTTCCTTCCAACTGTACTCAAGGTTCTATTGCCCACCGGTGGGGTGTGATCCAAGATCAATGCAACCGATGGTATGGTTGTGTTGATCAAGTCAACTTCACCGCAGAGTGGGGTGACAATCAATGAGTATGGGTCTATCATCCAAGACCTATACAAGCAACACAAAAACGAGTAGATCCAGAGATGTAGACAGCCAGCATTTAGTGAATCGCGATCAATTGATTGCTTGAACATTCAAACCGTAAGTCCGTAAAATATTGCCATTTGTCAATAATAAGTTAATTAGTACACCAAAACAGTATCTTCTCCATCTTACAGAGATGCACAATTGGAACTGATCGCATCTAACCTCATGAGAGATGGTATATATACATCCTCTGCGACTAACCAACTAGCTACTCCGGTTGTTCAATTTTTTGTCAGTGGTGCCTAGGGCTGTGAACGCTTGGAACATAATAGTCTTCCTGGAACTCCAGCAACCCAGGAGGCACTGCCTTAACTTCGCTCGCAGTACCAGGGCTCCCTGTCGTCTCGCTCGTCGATCCACCGGAACCCTTGACCGCATCATCACTGGAACCCTTGACCGCATCATCGACTGGTTTCTGCATTGAGCAACACAAGTAGGTTGATTAGCGTCTACAGAAAGGCTCATCCAAAGATTCAGGCAACGGAACAGAAGATCAGAATCACTGCTTACATTGAGCATTGGGTTACCGCCGCCACTTCTGATGGATTCCCGGGTCTGTGCGTCTAGCCGGATGCCTTCAGCCTCCGTGGCTGTCAGTACTAGAAGCAACATCGCCGCTGCAGCCAGTGACAAGTACATGGAAATGGAACTCCTCATCCTGTCAGAGATCGATGTCACCGACTATGGGAGACAGAGTATATACTTCAGTCTTAGGCTCAGAAGTGGGCGTAGACTGTGTAGAGAGGAGAGGCTAGCTGGGCTAATCAAGTCGCTTGAACGGAAGCACGCATCTAATCTTGTGAGAGATGGTATATATGCATCCAGCTTTGCAACCCACCCCAGTGTTTGCTGCACTGATGTCTGTCAGGAGTGGTTTATCAACAGCATATACAAATTTAAAAACTACTTGTGAGTGCAAATGTCTCTGGATCACTGCCATTAATTAACTTGAATATATAGAGACCGTCCTTGCATGCCACCCTAAATGGGATGATTTTCCACAAAAGTTGGGCCATGAGCAATTTGTTTAATCCACTAGTTTGTTCATTAGTACTTAACCAAAGCACCACTTTAAATTAGCTGCTAAGCACAAGAAGCTTTAGGTTCTTGTGTTTGGTTCCAGGTGCTGCACGCATTGCCCGGTCCTGGAAAGTTGGGTACCGGTCTGTCTAGTCTAGTGTAGCTAAGAGCAACTCCAATGGGGCGACCCATTTCGTCTGCGGCCGTCCGTTTGGGTCGGTGCGGACAAAAAAGCCGGCCCAACGCGCCGACCCAAACGGATGCGCGTCCGCTTTCGTCCGCCTGCCGACCCATTTCTGGCCTATTTTTGAGGCTGATTTGCATCGGCGCGGACACAAGACGGACACGCACGCGCTCGCCCTCTTTCCTCACCAGGCCCGCTGGTTTGTGGCACATTGGATTCACACACTCGCCCGCCTGCTACGTCGCCGATGCCGCCGGCCATTTTTTCAGATTAAAATGGATACATAGATAGTTCTAGCGTACACAGATAAAAGAAAAAGACCACTACTCGTCGCTTTCTGACTCCGACTCGGTAATGTCCTCCTTGTTAAACATCATTATGTCAGTCACGATGACTTGTGTCACGTAGCTTGGGCAGGAGGTAGTTAGAAGATAGTTTAGATTCTTTCTAAACCGCATGTACTTATCTCTATCTTTTATCTCTTTCTTGCTCCTCAAGATGTAATCTCTCAAAACTACTTGTATGCATATGCAGGGATAAGCCCCTGACTATATAACACACAGGCGCGACCCCGATCAGGGTACGACGCTTCACGCCTTTCGCACATGGTATACAGAGCCCCTTTTCTTCATCACGTCTAGTTCGCTAGGGTTTTTTTCCTACCACCAAAGCTCGCCGCCATGTCCTCCTCTGCCGCAGCGAACTCCAACCTCTCCGGTCAAGTTACCGAGAAGCTATCCCGCACCAACTATGTTCTCTGGCGCACCCAGATAACCCTGCAGATCAGAGGAGCCGACTTCTTTGGATACGTGGATGGAACCACACCGGAGCCGGCCAAGCACGTCGTCACCAAGGACAAGGATGGGAAAGAAGAAATGATTCCCAATCCCCTCCACTCGGTTTGGATCCGAGAAGATCAACAGGTATTAGGCTATCTGTTGAACAATCTGACAAAAGAAGTACTAGTGCAGGTCACATCTATCGATCATGCACATGAGCTCTGGACAGCACTAGCGGGGTTGTTTTCCTCGCAGTCGTTGTCTAGGGTGAACAACATCCGCATCGCGCTCTCTCACGCTCAGAAGGGAACACAGTCCGTGGCGACGTACTTCGCATATATGCGGTCGCTCTCGGACGAACTTGCTGCTGCGGGCAAGCCTCTTCAAGACGGCGAGCTAGTCTCCTACATCCTCACCGGCCTCGACATGGAGTACCAGCCCCTCGTCTCCGCCCTCGACGCGCGCACACAACCGGTCACCATCGACGAGCTCTTCTCCCAGATGAGCAACTTCGACCAACGTGTTGCGCTCTTTCAGGGGAACGACGGCTTCAAGTCGTCGGCCAATGCTGCTACTCACGGCCGTGGTGGTGGCGGCGGCGGCGGATCACGCTACCGCGGCCCACCGCGGAAGGGCAAAACCAGTAGCGGCGATGGCGGCAACTTCAACAGCAACCCCCGTGGCCCCGGCAACAACAACGGCAGTGCGCGGCCCTCCTACACCAACTCCAAGGGTTGTTGCAACTTCCCCAGGTCATGCCCTGACACTATTCTGTGTCAAATCTGTGGAAAACCGGGGCACTCAGCAAAGGATTGCTGGTATCACTTCGAAGAGGATGAAGACTCCTCCCAAGATGTGAAAGTTGCTGGCGGGGCAGAGGCCTCGTATGGGGTCGACACCAACTGGTATGTTGACAGTGGTGCTACAAACCACATCACTGGCGAGTTAGAGAAGGTCACCATGAGGGAGAAATACCGCGGCCCGGAGCAAGTCCACGCCGCCAATGGAGAAGGTATGTGAACTAGTCGTGTTGGTCACTCAATTATTAAAACCCCTCACCGAAAAGTCCATCTTAGAAAAATATTGCATGTTCCTAGAGCTTCCATGAATCTCCTTTCAGTTCATCGCATTGCCATCGATAACCATGTCTTTCTTGAGTTTCACCCCTATTTCTTCTTGATTCGAGATCAGGTCACGAAGAAAATCCTCCATCGAGGTAGATGCGTTCGAGGGCTATATCCGTTGATTCCTGAGCTTAGGAGATTCAATAAAACAGCATGTGCTGTCACCATGTTATCTTCAACGCGGTGGCATGATCGTCTAGGGCATGCATCTTTTTCTTTAGTAGAACGAGTGCTTAGGAAAATAAGCTCCCATATGTTGGAGAGCGTAATGTTGAAACAGTTTGTGATTCTTGCCAAAGAGCTAAAAGTCATCAGTTGCCATATCCTATCTCTATGAGTGTTTCTACTAAACCATTGCAACTTATTTTCTCTAATGTTTGGGGTCCGGCCCCTTCTTTTGTGGGTAGACACACTTACTACGTAAGTTTTATCGATGACTATAGTAAATTCTCTTGGATTTATCTACTTAAGAAATGATCCGATGTTTTTCCAGTCTTTCAAAATTTCCAAGCACTCGTTGAACGTAAATTTGATAGCAAGATCATTGATGTCCAATCCAATTGGGGAGGGGAATACAAAAAATTAAATTCCTTCTTCCAAAAACTTGGTATTTCTCACCACGTGTCATGCCCACATGCTCATCAACAGAACGGGTCTGCTGAACGCAAACACCATCATATCGTAGAGGTTGGTCTCTCTCTTTTAGCCGGCGCATCCATGCCCTTGAAATTCTGGGATGAGGCGTTCCTGACAGCCGTGCATATCATAAACATGTTACCTAGTCGTGTCATCAATAATGAAACGCCTATGGAACGTCTCCTTCATACTAAACCCGACTACACCACTCTTCGCGTGTTTAGGTGTGCCTGTTGGCCAAATCTGCGCCCATACAACAAGCGTAAGCTCATGTTTCGGTCAAAACAATGTGTCTTCATAGGGTATAGTGCTCTACACAAAGGTGTCAAATGCCTTGATGTCTCTACTGGCCGAGTATATATTTCTCGTGATGTAGTCTTTGATGAAACAAAATTCCCATTTTCTGATCTACATCCTAATGCCGGCGCCCTTCTACGACAAGAAATTCTTGTTCTCCCATCTCACCTAACCGGCGCAGACCCACGGGGAAATAATTGTGATGATACAATATTGACTAACCCTCATAACACCAGTCTGGCTAAGTTTTGTGATGAAACAGGACAAGAAAACGGCGAAGAAATTGTGCAAAATGGTGAAGAAATCACCCTAAACAGCCACTATTTCATGTGTCCAGCACCAAGGAGCATATCCCCCTCGGGATCGTCACCGCCGCAGACTGCTGCGCAATCCTCTGCGGGATCCGTGCCGCCGCAGGAAACCTGTGCCTCGGGTTCAGCGCCGGCAGGCAGCAGCGAACGTGCGGGCGCACCAGGCGACAGCCGTGCCAGCAGCAGCGGTCCTACATCCGCCACGCGGGCCTCTCCCGTTTGTCACGCAACGGACACCGGGTCGCGCCAACCAGCACCGGCCACTGGGCCGCCCCTGAGTCGGTGGCCCACGGGAGTGGACCGCTGCTATGTGCGCCGTTCCACCAGTCGGCCTGATTCCTGCATCGGCTCGGGATCCAGCGCGGATCCCTGTCGGCTGGCGTCATCATCGCCCCCTGACGAGGCGCTGACGTCATCTTCTGCACCGGGTCACGTGTCCCCTTTATCAGATGAAGCCGCAGAAGATCCCGGCGCTCCATTCACTAGTGCAGAACCGGGCAATAGCACCGGTTCGTAAGGCCCTTTAGTGCCGGTTCCATAACCGGCACTAAAGTGTGGGCACTAAAGCCCCCCCCCCTTTAGTACCGATTCAGCACGAATCGGTGCTAAAGGGAAACCACGTGGCACGAGCCAGCTCCGGGGGCCGGGAGCCCTTTAGTACCGGTTGGTAACACCAACCGGTACTAAATGTTTGTGGATTTTTGTTTTATTTTGTATTTTTCAATTAAATTTGTGTTATCAATTTAATTTAGGATTGTTTTACGTTATAATGAGTTGTAGTCGTCATCATCATCATCATCATCATCATCGTATATTAATAAATAAATAAACTCTAGCTAGCTAAAAATCATTGTAGTCGTCTAATTACCACTATTTAATCATCATAGTCATTACCGCTAGCTATCTAATCATCACCAACACTGGCTAGCTTAAAGAGGAAACATTCACTTTGTAACAGAAGCAAAGATATCATCGAGTTCAACCTAATCATCACCAACATCGAAGTTCGGGACACGGGCATGAGATACTAATTAAGAGCATGAACTAGTGCTGCTCCCTCTCAGGTAGAATAGCATAGAACATGTATAGCTCTCCTGATTCATCATACTAGAGCATGCAGATGAATCTGTCTCCTAATCTTGGGTTGCGCTTCTCCTTGCTGCCCCCTAGTACTTCTCTGTGATCGTTAACAATTTTGTTCCAATCTTTCACTATTAAGCATTCTTCGCTTTCAGAAATCCTGAATGCACTCATGTGCAATGTAGGATATCTTGGCCGTAAGCTAACC